AAAATTATTAATTTAATAAAACTATAAATTAGGTGTGACATACATAGCTAAATTAATATTTGAATAAGACTAAATATGGATAATAATATAAATTAAAAATAGAATTAATTATAAATAAGATTAATTAATAAAATTACTTATTTACCTGATTTAGTAGTAATCAGCAATTACTGTGCCATGTGCTATAACTGCATCATATGCTATGTCACATCTACTATACCACATGAATAAGTGATTGATTACAATAGCCATCAAAGTGCATTGTGATCAGTAATAATTTTAAAAAGAGATCTAAGGAGATAATATTGTTATCTTTTTGGTATGAGTTCTGAAATGAAGATGAGTATTAAATCTAATATTACAAAAGTACATGATAAAAGTGACCACATGCTTAAAGTGATATTTGGAAGAGTCTTTAAAAGGTTTATTAACAAGAATGTATCTACTATTATTTTAAAGTTAATCTAAAGTTAGCATTCTTGTTGTGACTAGCTAGAATATAGTCTAATTCAAAATATAATCTTCAAGACAGATATAATGTTTAGTTTATTAACAAGATGAAATAATAAATCTTAATTAAGATCTATTCTACAAGAGAAATTCCTTAGAATTCTCTTAAAACTATAATCTACTAAAATACAAATTGAGAACTAAACTCATAGAACTCAAACTAAACTAAATAACTAATTATCTGACTACTTAACTATCTGTTTAAATTTACTAACTAAGATATATCACTTTTATATATTTTAAAGATTATACAAATGATACTTTTGTTATGATACTTATACTAGTTTTGTTATGATCTAAATGTTACTTTTGCTAGTATCATAATGTTGGTTTTATTATGATAGCATTGTTAGTTTTGCTGTAATAGTTTTGCTAACTTTGCTATAATAATTTTGTCATAATCATTATGTTTGCAAAATCTTCTAAAAATATCTACAAATAATATTTTCTAAAGCTAATATTCAATAAAATATAAAGAATTATTCATCCAATTATATTATGATATGAAGTGATTAATAATATAATTAACTAATTTTACTAAAAGTTCATATCATAACAATATTCTGAACTACCTGAAAGTGAATACAAGAAATTATATTTTTTAAATTCAGGTATAATAAATGAAATTCATAAAGAACTTATTAATTATTTTACTATTATTTTAAAAGAGCTTTACATGAAGAAAAATCAAGAAAAAAAGTGATCAATAAATTAATATGTTATCAAAGTCATATTGAATCTGTAAAAAAATGCTCAGCTTGTCAATTATTTAATATTGATAATAAATTATTAATAATTGCTAAAATGAATCAATTAAATAAATTAGTTGATATTGCAAATATTACCAAAAAATCTATTATCTATTCTTGCATATTTGAAAATACATAAGCATATTTAAAGAGTGAGATTTATATGCTACAAGTATATATTTCTGATCTAATAGTAATAAATTCAAACTTAACTATCAATATTTGAAAAGTTTTCAAACATATTGAAGAATTATTTGATATTAAAGATAGTAGTCATAAATAGATTATAATAATCTGTGATGGAATATCCTACCATAATACACAAATAATCAAAAAAGACTTTTCCTGACTTATATTAATTCCAAATGCTCTTCATGAAGAGATGAATATACTTAAAGTATTTGTTGAATTAAATTGAGATATTGATATAAGATATTTTGCTTAATGTCAGAGTTATTGAACTGAGAGTCAACTATAATTTTTTAAAAAATATTTTAATCATCATAAGTCTTGGAATTTGATATATAATATATATAGATATATGATAATTTCTAAATTAATGTGACTATATATTATTGCTGAAGAGAATTCTTCTGTTAAAGACTACTTAGACTATGTCCAAAATCAAACTGATTTGATATTTAGGTTAAAGTATGAACAAGTCTTTTTTTATTTACATGCAATTATTAATTTTCATACTGAAATTCATTTCAATAGGCCTTCATTAAGACTTGCAGCTAAATAAATATTTATACTGATTTGATCTGCTCAATATTACCCAATTTACTGATTGATTAAAATTACAGATAAAGAATAAAAATTATGATTAAAGCCTAAAATTTATAATCTGATTTAAGAAAGAATTATAACATCCTGATCTAAATTTCCAAATTAACATCAAGATCATGACACAATATTAGAAAAAATAAATAAGACACTCAAATTATTAATTTCTTCTACATCTTCATAGTGATATTAGGAAATTATAGCATATAATTATATCAAATTTAAAAAATTACATACTAATCTTTTTAATGTAATAGAATATTCTGAAAGTGAACTATACAGATCTTATATATATCTTATTTTTATTGCTAAATCAAATTAATTTCAGATTCAGATAAGAAAGATATAATTTATAAATCCAAATATTTCTAATCATATTTTTCATGATATTAGTAGTGAATTGATATTAAGTGAAGAGATGAAAAGTTTTACTAAAATTGTACAAATAAAAAGAATAGAATTTATTAAATCAAGACAAATTAGAAAAATATCATTAGATGCTTGACAACCGATTCTAGTAATAAGTGAAGAAGTGAATTATCAAAAAAATGAAAATTTATTAACAAAACTATAACTATTATTCATTATTAATTCTTTAACATCTCTTTTAAACAATTTACAATGATCATATTTCAAAGTTTATCAAGTCAATTCCATGATGATTTAATAAATATCCTTCAGAAAGTTAAAAATATATTATCCAAAAATATTATTAATACTAATAAAGAAAAATGATAACTGAAAAGTTATTATCTAAAATCACTTATCTCTAATGTTTTACAAAGATTTCCAGAAAGTTCGAGAAAAAATTTTACTATCATAAAAAGAATAATCTACATTGACAAATTGGGGAATCTCTCTGACTGCACTAAATAGCAAGATTTAGTGTGATAATAATACTAAAACAGGAAAAATGTTCGCAGATCGCTCAGAAGTCACGCGTAAATCACGGGACTATAAGATATCTTTGATCCGGGAAAATTTTTGACTTGACGCGACAGGCTACTCTATTTCGTGTTATCAGTTCTACAATTTGAAATTTCGCACAGTAAAGAAACCATAGTATTTTCGAGATGACGAAGCATGGATGGCATAGATATTTCGACGACAATGATGTCAGTAATTGGAGTATCTGTGGGTTTCATGAAACATGGATACGTCAAAATAAAGACGATCCAAAAAACCTACGCTACCAAAAGGCAAATGACGCTCTCACAAAAAGTCTACGTTTGCTTATTAATGATTGCGAAGATGACGTGAAGAAACAGGGAGCTGCTGCGAAACTTCTAGCAAACAAGGCGGCAAGTATATTATTATAGTAGAGTCAGCGAGTTCTATTTATACTTTTGTGGGAGTCGGTGAAGGTGTGAACTGTTGTCCATACTAAGAGGAATCAACTTTTTGCTGATCCTCTGAATGCCTTTTTGGATGTGTGGCAACAGTTGCCCATGCTAGGAGGAATCAACTTTTTGCTGATCCTCTGAATGCCTTTTTGGATGCATGGCTTGTCACAATGCCAATATGCGTGGGATTAGAGTTAGGAAGAATTATACTTATTTGTACATTATGTGCAATACACCACATCTTTTCTTAACCACATTTTCTCTTACAAGGGCAAACGCAATCATGGAAGTGATATTGATGAATTGTGGACTCTCATAGAAAGCAAGAATCTCGAGAAAGCAGCGCTTACAAAATTAAATTGTCAACAGGTTAGTCCACGAATTTTGATTATACTCATTAAGTTGAGAATGTCACGATATACTCAAGCCCTTTAACTGATGCTGCGATGACAAATTTAAGCAACATTATACCAGAGTCGACATCTGTCTTGCCGAGTAAACGACCTTTTGAATGTCTTGATTCAGAAACAGCATCAACAAGACAAGAAGCAAATAAAGATCTTGATCCACAACCAGAGGGAGCAAAAACACCACCACCCAGATTTCCTCCGAATAAAGAGATACTCCTTTCTACTCCAGACAAGCGAGATATGCATAGTAAAGAGATTGCTTGGTGAGTTCATATATTCATAATGGGCAGCTGATTTGAGCAAGTTAATTTGATACTTCTATCGTATGCTAGTTATCTTGATGCCATGGAAAATTTGCTAAAGTATAATCAAGTTGTAAGCGATGTTCCACCTGTGTGGACAAAATCTCTGGAGTCCTATCTCCGACAATGTTCTTAAGGTGAGTATCCGTGGGTATTAGTTACTGACATGTTGGAAGCCAACAGATTTTTATATCTTTTGCTGTCAATTTGTAAAAAGAAGGAGATGAATTTAAGATTGCTGCAATGGAAAAAATAAATGGAGACGAAGGAAATTACTTTCGTTTGTACTGTGAAAAAATTCTGACTGATTTGTGAGTTTTATTTTGCCATTGTTTTTTTTTAGATGACTAGCGCTAAACTTTTCTTCTTAATTCTAGTTATAATTTGGTCGATATTTTCCCCAATATCTCAAGAAAAATTGGCGAACGAAAGTATATTGTACAAAATATTTCTTCTCTCTTTAAGTTTTACGAAACAACGTTCGGAAAAATAAGCTTCGATTGGATAGAGTCGCATTCTCCCGCAGGCAAACTAACAAAATCGGCCAGCAACTCCGGCATTATTAAGGTGGACATGAGAGGTAAGCAACAAATGCTTATTTGTGATTTCACCATTAGATTTCTTAATTAATCCAACCAATTCTGAAAGGAGTCCGGTTATTGGACGATAAAGAAGTCTTTCACATGGAAGTCTCGGGTCCACCTTCATTGTCATCAAAACAACATTGCACGGACGATACGAAAAAATCCCTGCGTACGGACATCCTGAATTTGATCGCCATCTTACTCGAACATATTAATCTATCTGTTGAAGTCGCAACACGAATTAAAGTGTTCAGTTTTCAAGTTATTAGTATGTACTTTTTATTTATTATAAATAATAATTCAATTTACTAATCCTACATTGGCGCTTGGTTATTAGAATATCGAATTACGTTTTATTCCCTAAATATGTTGAACGATGGTTCTTTTCTTTCATCAGAGTTATTTTCCGCTTTGTTCCCTTCTCCTTCGATGCTAGAGCAAAGTACAAACAAATACTATTTCTCATGGGTGTTTTTCACGTAAGTAAAGCTATACATATTGCTAATCATTTTCTGGGTTACTAACTAACAGTGTTTCTATGATTCTCAGAACGAAGTTATAGATCAAATCTCTTTGATGCAAGATCTCGATCTAAATACTAATCGTTATGAAGGAAAGACGTCTTGAGGGTTCCGATAGCATTGAAAGATCTTCTCTAGAATGAAAACATACCGTGCATTCATTAGAATAGAATATCTGCACGCTTATCAGTGAAAAATTAATAAAACGGTTATCGTATTTCAGAGGAATGAGGCTTTGCTTTTCGGCTTTGTCTTTTGACTGTGTATTGTCCATGTGATTTTCAACAAGGTAAGCAGCGTGACACAATGTGTGGTGCTAAGAAAACATTCCAAATCGCTGCAAATGGAAGATAGAGCACTATAATTCCGTAGTTCTTGGCACAGCACACATTTTTTTTACCGGCAAATGATTGGTATAAATTATCTGCCAAGTTTTTCTAATCCTGACCCAAACACGAATTCATTTATTCTATTGCATAAACTTGATATAAAATCGTCATAAAGCGCTTAAACATTATGTTCAAGTAAATAGCTTTGAATAATAAATTCCCATACAAATGACAAAATTAATTAATATATAGGATTAACTGTATATGAATAATAATTACAATGGTTCTACTGAATATGAAAAAGCAACGCATTTCCTGGACATCGGTTGTAATTGTGGTTGCTCAAAAAAGATTCCAAAAGAAAGCTTTGCTGAATTATGTGAGGCTTTTCAAGCTCTCTCTCGATCCGAACAAGATCGATTTTTAATGGCCCAGCTGAAAGCAATGAATGGTGGAGAAATAACTGCCAGTCGACGTCTTAAAAAGAAAACGCGTACGAATAAGCGAACGTTTTACTACTGAGATCGCAATACGCCGCTTTGTCAAAAAACGTATCTCAATATGTTGGGAATTGGTCGCACTCATTTGGAAAACGTCAGAAATCACCTAGCGATGAATGGTATAATACCACGTGTTCATGGTAATATCAAACGAGTGCCGCGATGGAAGACCAAAATAACCATTGATATCACCGTTGCTACCGCTGTGAAAAATTTTCTCGAGAATTATGTTGAAATTCACGGACTACCAAGTCCTGGTAGAAACGTCAATCGCATTACTCAATCACTTACACTTTTGCCAGCCGAAACGAGTTATAAATCGGTCTATCGTGATTTTATCGCAGGTCTCGAAAACGATAGCACGTTGAAATTGTTAAAATATGACGCATTTCGCAAGTTATGGCACCAATTAACGCCTTATATTCAAATCATGAGTCCAAGAACGGATTTATGTGACACATGCCAACGTTTTCGGAACGGCCTACAGTATAATGCTCGTAAGGAAGAAGAAGCCAAAGATTTATTGAAAAAATACAAGGAACATTTAGTTAAGGCTAAATTAGAGAGAAACTATTACAACAAAAATACGAAATTAGCGGAACAGCAAAGAAAATTAGTAGACGAGCATTTTAGAACAAGAGGTGAAGCTGATTATTGTAGCATTGACGCGACTGCACATTACAGTTACGATTGAGCGCAAAACGTTCACGTACCCCATTCCGATCAACAGGTAAGTAAGATTTATTATCTCAGTCCCCGTAAAGTGCATTTATTTGGTATACAAGATGAAGCAGTACGCGAACAAATTAATTACGTTCTCGATGAAGGCGAAATTATCGGTAAAGGCCCTAATGGTACGCTGAGCATGGTATTCGATGGAATTAAGAGATTGAATAAAGGTGAGAAACATTTAAAGATCACTTGCGATAATTCGGGAGGACAGAATAAAAATAATGCTACCATTTGGTTCTACTTGTATTTGGTAATTTGTGGCTACTATGAAAGTGTCGAATTAAATTTTATGATACCGGGTCACACTAAGTTTAAGTGTGATGGTAGCTTTGGATTGATTAAGAAACTATACCGCAAAACGACCGTAGATTGTGTGGATCATATTGTTGAGGTTGTGAAAAGATCGAGTACAGCGGGATTAAACAAAACTCAGCGTTACGATAACGGAAAAGGTTTTCAATACTTAGATCTTAATTCCGTGTTGGGAATTTTCTTTAAGAAATTGAGTGGTTTACAAAAATATCAGCATTTTGTATTCGAAGCAGCCCAACCTGGAATTGTCAAAGCTCAGCTGGTTGCCAATGGTACTTATACTGAATTTAATTTATTGAAAACCAGAAAAGCAGGTGTTTCTGAAATTATCAAAGAAATTAAATCTTTTTCCATCCTCGTACTGACCCCTCCTCCTTTGGATTATAAAAGACAAGAATATCTTTATCATAATATTCGCCCATTTGTTAGAGATGAATTCAAAGACATTACTTGTCCACAACCAATTTATACTGGCAATGAATAAAATTTTAGTCCCAAAATCCTCTTCATCATTTCAATTTCCTCGCTGTCATTAAGTTCTCCATCTAGAATTTTGCTAGCTTTTAATTCTTAAAGATTAAATAAAAAGAAATATTAAAATAATTATATACTTAATATACCCTCATAAAAAGGATATAAGTATATTAAAAGAATAAACAAATTAAAAAAAAAAGTATGGTAAACGTAATAACAGAACTCGAACAGAGAAACAAACAATTATTAAATGAAATCAAACAATCAAAAGAAGATCTGAAACTAAAAATTTGAAATATTGCTGGTCAATATGATGAAAATAGTTATGTTCCTGGTAATTGATGACATAAGCAAAATGACTGGAAGAAGGAAAGGTGAGAATAGAAAATGAAATAGTTTTTTATGATAATATAACTATCAAAGAAATGTTAGATGAATTTATGGATAGTTCAAAAGAAGTGGCTGAAAAGTGTTCTCATTACATCTCAAGTTGAAGTGAAAAAGGTTATGAAAATACTAGGCAAAGAAAAGAGTTTGAAAGTATAAAGAACAAGTTGAAGAATTGCAAAGACAAGTAATAAAAACTTTATCAATTTGATATAAGGAATAAGAAGAGATTAATGATGTTCCTTGAGATGATTAATTTCATAACTGAGACTTGAGAGAATTAAAAGAATTAAAAAGTAAAATAAGAGGAGATTTAAATAAAGTCATTTTCACAATTATTGAAAAATTAGATCAAACTTTTAAAGATCTAGCTGAAGCAATTAATATAGCTAAAGTATGAAAAATCTGACAAAGAGCTTTTGAATGAGAAGATTAATGTGAAATTAAAGTTATTAAGAGACTATTGGAAAATTAGCCGAGAGAGACAAAGAAAATGAAAATTTGAAAGCAGAAAAAGAACAGAATTTAAAAATAATAGAGACAATTACTGAGAAATTTTCAGAAGAAAAAAAATAAAGAGAAAAGTTAGAAAGATTACTAGATTTAGAGAGAAAACCACTGTCTACTTTGCCTAAAGAAAATAAGATTTTAAACAAATAAAGTATTTTCAAATAATTAAAATCAAAAATAAAAATTAAAGTTCAGCAATTACAGAAATTAATCAAAAGAGAAAAGTTTTATAATCAAGAACTTGTTGCTAAAATTGAAATTCCAGTTAAATAATTATGAGAGAATTAGACTATGTCATTTTAGATTTAGAAGAATAATGTAATGATATTGATTTGACTTGTAATTTTTGCTCTAGTTTTGAAAATAAAGATGATAGAAAAGTAGTTTGTCAAATCAGAACTTGCAGTAAATTAGTTGAAGAATTTATTGTAAATGACTTTGCTTGTGAAAATTATAAAGATAGAATTAAGAAACTATTAAAATATGAAAGATGTAGAAGATTTTTAACTAAATCATGATATAGAAATAAGAAGTATATTTGTTATTATGTTAAATATAACAAAAATATAAAAGAAAAAGAACTTTCTAATTTATCTAATTAAAGAGAGAGTATGTTTACTTTTTATGAAAGGCAAATAAATTCTTTGCAAGAAGAGAAAAATTAATTATTTAAGGAAGTAGATACTCATCTAGAAGCTTTAGAGATAGCAAAAGATTGACATAAAAGACAGAAATAAGAGTTATTAGACCAAATTAAGCAATTAGAAACAGAGAATAGCAACTATAAAGAAGAAGTCAAGAGATTAAAAATTCAGTTAGAATAATTAACTTCTTAACATATTATTCAAATTGAAGTTAAAGAAAATAAGAGATAATCTTGATTAAAAGTAAGAAAGTAATTTAAATTTCATAAATAATTTTTTCTTTATCTAGATATTTCTCAAGAATTTTAATATCATATATTTTAAAAACATAAGATATAATTTTTTCTCCTTGTTCTTTCTTTAAAATGCTTCTGATTATACTATAGTTTTTAGTTTCCATAGTTGATCTAATATAGATTAATTTTATATAAGTAATTTTATACAGAAATACTCCTATATTATTATAATCCAAAAAATAAAATTGAATATTAAAATCATTATTAATAATACTGATAAAAAGAACTAATACTAATATTCTGACTAATCATAATAAACTCACTATTTGATACTATTATATCAGTATTTTATTTATGTATATATAACTTAAAAAGAAAATCATAATTTGGAATAATTTACGAGTTTTGTTTTTTTATTTAGTGAATATGAATTGTAAAATACTATCAAACAAATTCATAATAATCAATATATGTATTTTTGTCATATTATCTTTATTACTCTTTAAAATAAATACTTATGATACATTTATTTACATCTCACTAGAATGATTATATAAGAGAAAATACTCAGATCCAAAGCTATTGATAAGTATCTCTATACTTTGATCACTCTAGTAAAATCTATGTTACATATTATTATTAATATCTTTTTCTCCTTTCTTCTTTTCTTTATTAATTCATTCTCATACTGCTTTAATAATTGTTTTTTGAAGATTTATTTTTTACAGATAGAAATTTTTTAACATGAAAATTATAATATCTTTTTCTTTATATAATGTGTAGATTTTAACTATCATTATATTAAATAAAAAAGCTGAGTTTAGCTCAAGTTTTTATCAAATAATTTTTTAAAATCTTTCTACAGATTTTTGACATTCTCTAGATATATGTATTTTCACTCACTGAGTAGTTTAATAAATTTAGATTTTACTTTTATTTTTTCTGATCTGACTGTTTCAATTATTATTTCAAGCTTTTGATTTAGATTATTAAAGTTTTATAATGTAGTGAAAGATCAAAAATAAGTTTAATTAATAATCTACAAAAGAATTTAATAGAAGTAAGTATTTTTATATATTTATTTTTTATAAAATAAATATATTTGATAGTATTACTTAATATTTATAATTTGATCAATTATAAATTTGTTTTTTAAGTGAAAATATAGATAAAATGGTGCTAGCTTTATAATCAATCTTTCAGTTTATTAAATACTAATCAAAATATGAGTATTCATTAAATATATATCATGATTATATACTTAAAATAGTTAATTTATTTATCAAATAGTTATTTTGAAATATGCAAATTAAAAATAATACGTATTTCAAATAAAAATTAAGTCTATATTAATTTATTCAAATAATATTTTTCATTAATATTAATATTATATTATAAAAATCCTTACTTGTATTATCTAATCCAATTCTTAATACTAATACTTATATTACACAAACTTAACCAATTGCTATAGTAATAGAAGAATTTCTTCTAATTTGCTTTAATATTAAGTAATTGACTTATTTAAATACAGATATTACTCAGTTAAAAAATTTATACTATTATGATTTTTATATTGTTATTATTAATCAACTTGATTTTATCAATTATAATTTAATCAAACTAATTAAAGAAAAAAAGAGGTAAGATCAATTTGCATAGCATTGAATTCTTTGTGATATTATATTTACTTTATCTGATTTTATTGCAATTTGCTTCAAATAGTTTAATAAATTCTTAAAAGATTATGATTTAATTTCTAAATATTTACATAAATTAGAAGTAGTTTATAGTACAATAGTATATAAAGCTAAGAATCCAATCTATATCTATATCATTATTAAAGAATATCTACATCATTATTCTAATAATTATACTTTACCAGTACAAAATTATGTTATGATAAACTATAGAAAGCAGGAATAAAAATCTGAAGAAGTAAGACTATTTTATCTCTATAATGATAAAAACTAATTATACTTCTTTACTTTTATCATATTTATAGTAAAATCTTTATTATTAGACTATTTATAACTAGATCTAGATGAAGATGAAAATGAGAAATCAGATGCAATATCATTTAAAATTTTCTTTTTTCTTTTAGTCTTACATGGTATATGATTTCTTTAAGAAATATTGAGTTTTATTATTGAATTTATAATATTCTGCTGAATCTCAAATTTTACTATCTCTAGTAATTGATGAAAAGAAATTCAGATTTTTTTACCTGATATTTATTTAATAATATCAAATACTACTTTATCAGTAATATTAGATAAATTTTTATTTTTTTCAAAATCTAATTTTTTCATAATCTCATAAGTAATAATTGAATATTCTGAATCTGAATTAATTATATTCTATTACTTTAGTACTAATTTAATATTATTATTTTCAATCATTATTTATGTTAAATTATTTATTAATACACAATAAAAAAATATAGTGTTAAATATATTTAATATTAACATGTTCATAAAAATACTTATCAAAGGAAAAATTCTAGTAAAAGTATTAATTGATATAATATTTAAATTCAATATTATTAGCAAAAACTTGTTTAATAAGCTTAAAGAAGATTATAAGTTAGAATATTTATCTGATGATGAATTAATTAATAAAGAAATAAAAGACTTAGATTTATAGTTTTACTATAAAGAAAAATAGCAAAGCTTAGATTATACTAAAGTAATAAACTTTCAAATTCACAAAAATCTATTATTTGATTTGATATTAGAACTGGATTGGTTATAAATATACAAAGCAAAAATAAGCTTTGAATATTCTCCTAAAACTTATACTTATTATGTTAGAATTGTAATAGATGATATAAGTATTTCATTAATTAAAGAAAATAATCTATCTAGATTTGATTTATTAATAAATAAGATCACAAATATAATTAAAAAAATTCTTTCAGATGTTGAAGATAGATTCAAAAGGTTATTGCTTTATAATAATAAGTATGAAAAGAGATATCATGAAATATTTTATAATATACCTCTTACATCTCTATTATTCAGAAGATTAGATGATGATTTCAATAAAGAAATTAAAAGAATAATCTGAAATCTAAAAAATATGATTCATATACTTCATAAATATGACCAAGTTTAAATTTGTAAACTTATATCAAAGTATCATCAAATTTAATTAATCCAGAATGAAATAATATATTAAATAATCTAATCAATTATAATAACTAGTGCAAGTAAAAGATCTTTAAATCATTT